AATCGCAAAATGTGTTGGTAAGCGCATAACTCAACAACGCCTGGACCAATTTGGCCAATTCTTTTTTTAAAATGTTCGTTCAAGTCCAAAGATGGTTGTTACGGCGAGAAAAAATCGAATAATTGCAGGGAAAACACTAAAACCAGCTCTTTTCTTTTTCTTGTTCAAACGTTTTCTAACTAAAACGTAGAATCAATTTGAGCTTTATTGCTATTATATAAAGTTCATATTAAATTACAAGCACTCACTGTATACTCCTCCTAAACAATTATTCGGATTTTGATAAATCTATCTGGAGTTTGTTAAGGAAATTTTCTAGGATGTATGTGATCATGAAGTACTGGGATGTATGTGCAATATTGTAGAAATAAATGGAAAAAATTGCAAAAAACGACATATCGTTGTTTGAATTGAAAATTAATGAAAACTATCATCTACCAAAAATTTCAATTTACGTATAAACCTAGACAATATTAGAATATGCATAATAAATTTATGATTATGAATAAGAAAAATGAAATGTCTACATTATTATTGCCGAAAAGAAGCTGAGTCAGAAATTAAAATAATATAAAATACAGTGTATGTATGGCGATTGAATGATTGATTGAATGGCAAATTATTTCACTTAAAATATTGAAATTAAGTATTAATCAGGGCCGGACCTACCTTTAATGCGATCCATGCGAACAATACGAGCGCACGCCTTAGGGGGCGCCAATAAAAGATTCGGATATTAAATTTTAAATATTGTTTTTTTTTCAATATATAATTTCTTTGCATCTTTTACTAATCTTTCCACAATATTTTTAAAATTCGTAAAAATTTCACTTTATAACAACAAATTAAAGTAAAGGTGAATACATACAATTCAACCCTCACGATATCGATTAGGGGAAGTTTAAGATGCAATTTGGAATATCTTAAATAATTTAATCCAACATGAAGTACCAGTGTTATGTTATGGTTATGGTTATGTTATACCGTTTAAAAGACTTCAATTTCGAATATAATAGTGTGAGAATTGAGACTCATAATTTTATTTAAAGCAGTTCTACATTTAACATCGCTCATATTATAAATATATATGCATTTTGGCGTGAAGGGTAATTTAAAAAACAATAATTATTATTTTTAGGCAAACGGTAAATATTAGTATATTATATTAAAAAATTGTAGACATGGGTACAGGACAACGTCTGTCGGGTCATCTAGTAAATAAATGAATTCATATAAGAAAATCATCACCAACATTTCAATATTTAAAATTATTCTTGCATTATTGTGGAATGTTTCTACATATAAGAAACATAATTTTTATTTAAACTTAGTTATGCAGTAGACTTACCACTAGACTAATTCCTTTACCATTAATTAACACATTTAATGTTAATAAATAATCAGTATTTTTTATTATTTTTTCCCAGGTCTGTTATTCCATAACCATGCCAGGGAATCAGGCAAAGGCAACAGCGACTGCCACTTCACCCTGGGAGCAATTTTCGCCGCCATGAAACAGACCGACGCCTTCCATCGCAGTTTCGACGAAAACGAATTTTCCGACGAAAAACTGACCGTCGACAAAATAGTCGAAGACGACGAAGAAAACATTAAGAGTCGACAAAAGCGCATTGTGGAAAATAGTGATACAATTGAAGATTTGAGTGATAGAATATTGAATAAAAGAAGTGTTAACGACAGTAGTGGTGCAGATTGTGTTAATTATACTAATTGTAACTCGAATAGTGAAAAGAGGATGGCTTTGTACAGGGAACTATTGGGAACTTTGTCGAAAAGTGCCAAAAGTGAGATAAATATTCTTGGTTTTAAAATTTTAATTATTCTAAATTATAATTATACCTGATTTTTGACGCCGATGTAATCACATTGTATTTAGTGATTCAAAACTTCTCAATACGTTTGAAATTCAAATAATGGGATTATGCAGGGTGTCCCAGAACTCAACGTAATTAATAGGTTTTTATATTTTACTCGGATTTTTTTTATTATGAACTGTCAAATATTTTACCATTTAAAATCCTGATTTAGAAGCAACGTTAAAGAGTTCATTTGTTTAAAGAACGCTTTCTCGAAGTTGACCTATTTAAAAAAAATTAATTCATAGTTAAACCAAATGTCTTAATTATTGAAAACTTGAGACAATTGTGTCATTATTTTTGAGTGTGGTCTTAGAAATAATAAAAATCAACTACAAGAATAAGAAAATTATCACAATTGCACCAAAGATATAGGTTGCACTTAAAAGCTCATAATTTCCAAACAGAGTTATATATTTTTTTCAATTTTTTTTCAGGACATTTACGCTCTATATTATCCTTCCTTTTCGGCTAGACGTTGTATTCTGGAACACCCTGTATATATATATATATATGTATATATATCAGCGTTTGTAATCAAATCCGCTTGAAATTTAAATACCCTTTGAAATTCTTCTGAAAAGCTTGAATTTCAGATAACCATTGATGTTTATTCAAAGGCTCAGATTTATATATATATATATATATATATATATATATATATAAATCAAAATTCACACACCAAGACTTAATTAATTAGTTTTAAAACACGTAAGCGAAAATTGGAAAGATAAATTTAATTTTCATATGTAATATTAAATCGCCCTTCCCAATTTTCACTCACATTGTCCTAATTAAATATAAGTTGTCGGGGTATGAATTTTAATTATTAATTTCAATTTGTTTTAAGCATTTTCAAATTATTATTTATTTATATACAACATCCTTTTAGGATTTGTTTATTTTTAATTGAAACTTCGACGTATTTTAATAATTATGTATAAACACAACAACGTTTAATTAACGTAATATACCTACGACAGAAATATATAATATAATAATATATATATATATATATATATATATATATATATATATACATATTTGATAATTTTCTGTGTATAAAACCTCTGCAAAATTAATTATCAAAGGAATTTTGACAAACGTTGCATTAATTCGCGGTTTTACATCGTAATATCTTTGAAATATGAAATTTGTGTTCGCTCTAATGATTCGTTTAGAAAATGAACTATATAACATATATATAAATATTAGGGTGGTCCTTAATATGGATGTTTTCCCATTTTCTTGCTCCCAAGGGCTCAAATGGTTCCAAATAGATAAAAAATAATTCTCTGAAAGTTTTAGCTCTTAATATTGTCTTTTAGATACAGCGCAATTCAATCGAAGTTTTGTATGAAAATAGCATGGAAAAAATTTTGAAAATTAAAAAAAATTTTTTAGGTATAACTTAGCGACAAATGAATTAAAAGTGAACATTTGTATCATTTTTTATTGCAAATTCGATGCTCTGCAAAATTTTTGAAAATTTTCTCATGCTATTTCCATACAAAACTTTGATTGAATTGCGCTCTATCTAAAAGACAATATTAAGAGTTAAAACTTTCAGAGAATTGTTTTTTATCAATTTGGAACCATTTGAACTCTTGGGAGCAAGAAAATTCGAAAATGTCCATATTAAGGACCACCCAATTATATATTAAGTGGTAGAGAATGCCAACACTTCTGTGAAATTAATATCGCTAATTAGTCTCTGTTTTGCGTCTTAGTAATTATTTTAATAAACAAATTGCCTTTTGAAAGACTTAACAGTCGTTTTGAGGTTGACTTACAGTGTTAACAGTTGAGCCCCCTTCAAAGGATTTATGTCTGTAATGGTTTCAATTAATAAAATTGGAAAATACAACACCTAAGGAAATATTATCGACATTTCGGTTGTTTGAGGCTAGTATATAAGGCTTGCCTTTAAATTGTGTATTATCTATCTATTACACAATGATCGGTCCCCCATATGTATTAATATCTACAAGTTATTTGCAAGTCTCAAACTATAATATATCATTTCAAGCGAATCTCATTTACATTTATATGCGGGCATTATCCATGTGCATAGATTTTCATCTTTCCTTCATAGCCATTCATTCTACTACGATGATATCATATTAAGCGGCATTATTTATGAAAGACATGAAAATAATTGATTTTTAACGAGATTTTTATTATATAATGTGCGAATCTGTAGAAATGCCGCCGTATGGGATATGAATGGAAATTGGAGATTTTTTGGGGAAGCATGTTGTATGTGATCGTAAAATTGATAAATGTTAACATGGGTAAGCAGATAATATTCGGGTGTACATATTTAATCAAATAAGGTTTTATAAAATTTGCGAGTTAAATTTTGACGTTTACGAACCGCCATTTTGTTTAAGATTTGAAGTACATACTTGTAACATGCAAATATTGGCAAATTCTGCAAATTATCACTATAAATATGACGTTATGAAACATTTAATTCGCTAAACTCGAAATATAACTACATTGTTAATTATAATTTATATTTAAGATTATTTAATTTTTGTCGCTTTAACAAGAGATTTTTTGGGAAAGCATGTGATCGTAAAATTGATAAATGTTAACATGTGTGTACTTACATGGGTATGCAGATAATATTTGGGTGTATAAAATTAATCTAAAAATGTTTTATAAAATTTGCGAGTTAAATTTTGACATTTATGAACCGCCATTTTGTTTAAGATGTGAAGTAGATACTTTTAACAAATATTGACAGATTCTGCAAATTATCACTATAAATAAGATGTTGTGAAATATTTAAATCGCTAATCTCTGATATATAACTACATTGTTAATTATAATTCACTTATAATACAATATAATTATTTTTGCTTTGATAACGTCTTTGAAACGTGCGCGAACTTCGTGTGAATCAATATGTCAATTAATTTTCATATTTGTCAGTTACCACTTTTAATATTAATTTACACTTTTAATATGTATGAATCGTTTTATAGTATACACATATTCTGATTTGAATCTATTTACACACATATTTATATTTTTTTACTTTGACATTAATTTTTCAAACCAAAAGCTCTTTAACGCGAACTTCGCATATGTCTATTAATTTTTTTCATTTTTTAGTTGCTGTCCTGTGCGCGAGCCCAAACACAATTCGCGAGATAATGTTGGCAGCTGATGACCTGAACATGGTTGGGAGTGGTGAATACGTGTTTTTCAATATTGAATTGTATACGAGGTGAATAACGATATTTATTTAATTAAAATGTTATAAATATTTTACGAAATTAGTTCTGAGTTTTTTGCAACAATCGAATAATTTGAATGGTTGCTTGAGAATTTGACAGTTGTCAATGTTTACTTTTGGGCGGCCATTTTGTAGCCGTTGACAGTCACTCAAAATTTATTTTGAAACTATAAGAACAACTTTGTAATAATGGATATACTTCTAAATTGCATTTACAAAGTGCTCGTACAAGTTTTAAATATTTCCATCATAATAATAAAAAGTTTCATAGTTAAGAATTTAATATATTATATATTTCCTTCCTCTATGTGCAAAGTTTCATAAAGCTCGTTCCGACTTTTTGTAGTTTAAACTTTACAAAATGGATCAATTTCTCTTCATTTCTTTCGGCAGCATGACTAGCGCTTCTCTTAAGCCCTGGTACAATCCGCAGGATTCTGATGAGAATAATGTAAGGGCCAGGAGGGCTTATGAGGCTCTACTGACCGTCACGGCTCAAACGCCGGATGACCAGCAGTACAGGGAATTCAGTCAGCAGGTAAAATAGATTAAATTTATAATGTATGGATTAAAATCTATAATATTCTTGGTATTATAATCATGAACATGTTAGCTGTTCTCCGTATAAGGAGAATGGTAGAAGCAAGTTGCATTAATTGTTTTCACCAAAATTCATATTAATAATTTGTCAATTTCCAATTAGAGTTGTTGTAATCGGTCCATTACCATGTTCGTTTCATGAAAAGTTCGAACCCAGGGCAATTTGAATAAGAAATCTCATATAATAATGCAATGTTATTATATGTATTAAGAAATGTAATATTTCATCGCAAAAGTTTCGGTTTTGCCTTAGAATTGTGTCCCGTAACAAGCGAAAAGCGGAAAAGTTTTGTCGCGAAACGAAATGAAAAGTTGTTGAGGCGGTACAAGGGTATTTGAAATGAATTCGTATTTGTTTACATTTGATATAATATAATATATACTGTGAAATCATGTTAAGACGACTTCTCAAAGAATCTTGCCAAAATCGGGTCTTAACGAGACAAAAAATAACGTGCCTTACATAAGTCTTATTATTAGGTATTAAATTAGGCATACACTAAATAGTTAGTATAATTATAATTACATCATTTGAATTAATTCTTATTTTAATTTGAAAGAAAGATTTTGATGCATTAGCAAATACAGGATTTTCAACAAAATTTTGGGTTTTCAAGTTTCAAAGATTTAAGAGATTCTAATGCGAAGTTTTCTCGATACAGTTTGACCGAATTTCATGAATCAGACCACATCTATTTCTACCCCAAAGGACAACATCTATTATTACCCCTAAATAGTAAGGGTTGGCCAGCCTTAATGATTTTTTTTATATAAAGGTTACAGTAATGAAAAAAGAAAATTTTAGATTTCTCGACGTTTTGAAGGTTTCTGAACATTTTGGCATACCTCAGAAATGCTAAAGAGCTAAATATAAAAAATGGCAGTTTTTGAAAGAACTAAGCATCTGATTTAAATGATTCAAAGAACTTTCTGCTTGTTTTAACAAAATAATAGATTTTGGAAAAAAAATTGTATCAAGATTTAAAAAAGAAATTTTTTTTTCAATTTTTTTTTTGTATACCGAAAATAAATCAAATTATATTTTTAATTCTGACTAAAGTTTCAACTTTGCAATTCAGTTTATATAATTCTTATAAATATTAGAGAATGTTACAATATTTTTAATGATCTATTTCAAAACATTCAGTATTCTTCGAACATTTCGTTACGGTACGGGAAGTTCCAGCAAGTTGCCTTGAGGCACAATGCCATGCACCCCACTAGTTAATTTTTTTTTCAATATTTTTTTTATTGTAATTTGTATATGAAAGGCACATACAGTGCTGAATTTTCACTTTACTACCATAAACTCTTATTTTGCGTAGTTTTTTTCTGTTACTTTATAATTTACCTTAAAATATACATATGGTAAAACGTTTGCCGGGTCAGCTAGTATATATATATATATATATATATTTATATATATATATATATATATATATATATATAATAGAGTTGCTTTAAGGGGTGCCTAAAGCATAAAACAGATTCTTTTACTTAAAGGTACATGTCTAATAATTTTAACAATGGAAACCGCCCATGTATGTTTTTCTTCTGTATTATATAGGTATATTATGCGTATTTATATAGAACATAATAACTTAAATGTGTCTATTTATAGTAGTTAGGTAGGAATATTTCAATAAAGTGTATTATGTAAACGTAAACTGTATCTGTTTTCGACGGACGCCAAATAAATGGATTAGAGACGAAAACAAATAACATACAGATACTAATTAATTACGGTTCAACATCAAAATATTATCCATAAACAGAGAGAAATTCAGAATATATCCATACATAGGAATTAATAATATAACAGATTAAGTCCCAACTGTTAAATTTCATATCGTTTTGCTTTGAATTTAAATTTAATTAAGATAATTTGTTCACTGTATAATGTAATAATAATGATACTTACATAGGCTCAAAACGAAGCATAAACATTCATCCTGTGCAATTTACACCCGTTGAATTAATTCTCTTATCATCTTATAATTTTTTATGATTTTGTTACTTCCAGGTGAAGTCCCTGTCGAAATCGAAATACAATTACACGTTCAACGAACAGGAGCCCCTGAGCACCTTCGTGACCGCCTTCTACGATGCGGTCACCCTCTACGCCCGCGCCCTCAACGCCTCTCTGGCGGACAACCGCACCACCGATGGTGGTGGTACGGAACCCAATTACGAAATACTGGGAAGACCTTTGAACGGGTCAGACATCACCAGGAGGATGAGGAACGCCAAATTTAAAGGTGGGTAATAATAATAGAATCATAGTGACCGAGTGTGGGTACTTGATAATTTTATTTAAAGTAGTCCAAGAAGTCGGTTTATTATATTTAAATAACTCTAGTAGAAACAATTTAATTATTAATTGGTTCTTTTTTTAATGCGACATCGATAATTATTTATATACCGTATCTTTAGATTTTGAACATTACATACAGTGGTTTTAAATATATTTAAATATTTTGGGAATGAGGGTTTAATTTTAAATACCATCACGCATCACCTTAAAAATCCTAGATCCTAAATCCTTAAAAATCGTTCACGTTATAATTGGATTGGATTGGACAAATAATTTTTGAGAGTACTTAAGTTCTTATATTATGTCCGTCTTATAAGTATTATTAATTAATTCATTATCTCATTGTATTATTAATTATAACAAACTGAGGTTTGTTATTTATTTTGGTTCCTTGATTTTGAAAATATCTTAACTTGTCTTTCAGCTATTTAAATCAGCAATATAATTTGTATTTGGCAGTAGTCTGCTTTATAAATAATATATTGCTTATGAACTCTTTGGCATTAAAGTAAAATTTTCTCATTTAGTAATATGTATGTTCTCAAATAAAACTTTGAAGTAATTAAAACTCAACTGAAAAATATCCTTGCACAAACTTTATGGATTTATTTTGCTTATTTTAAATACTGCAACATACTTCTGTTTTTTAGTGATATTAGAGCAAAATTTATCAGATTTTCATTGATATATAACAACTCTTATGTTTTTAAACAAAAGTTTCTGTTAATTTTGCAAAGACTGGAAAAATGTCTTAGGTAGATTTTTTTATATCTTGAAGTAAATAAAAACTAAATCAATATAAAAGTAACAAATATATGCAAATAAAAAAATAATAATTTAATATCAAATTATCTTAGGGTGTAATACAGTAAATTATTTAATTTTAAACAACTTACTCATTTATTTTAATCGAGTTTACAATTTATGTAAAACATATAAATACACATTTAGTTTTCTCAGATGAAATTTATCGTTCTAATTGCACTTTTAAAACTAATATTGAACTCAGTAATTAAATAATTTATAGGATTTTCTACCACTTTAAACTTTTATAGGAACTCAATAATTGGTGTAAAATTATATAGAGGTACATAATCCTATTAATTATTTAATTCACAGAATATGTGTATACAAAATATTTATTTTATTAATATTAAATGAACAGTTTAAAAATATTAATAAATCAAATCTATAAATGCCTAAATTATGATAGTTTTGGTTCGACTCTTTTAACATGGTGAAAATTTTTCCAGTTTTTGCAAAATATCTTGAAACTTTGTTAGCAAATATATTTAAGTAATCATGGTCAAATTAATATAACGTACATTTTATTTCCATTTATATATAATTAAAGTCTAATTAGATTTGTTGCCATTATTGCATTCACAAATAAATTAAACGCAATGAAAAAGCGAGAAGTCGTAGCAAAGTTTTTTTTTTATTAGAAAATATATACCGAGGAGAAGAAACGACGATAGAGCAAATATATATATATTATATATATATATATATATATATATATATGTTGGAAAAACTCAATAAGAATGCCAAAGAGTTTATAAGCAATAAATTATTTATAAAGCAAGACATATCCTCATACAGATGTGCCTAAACCAAAACCTATCTATATTTTGATCAGGTGTGGAAAACTTTTCGCATAATTTGTACTAAAATATTAAATATACTTCAATTCAATACAACTTTACTAAAAATAATCATAAAAATGAACTAAATTGTCAATAAAATAAAATCAAATATTACCAAGTATCACCAAGGTGAAGGGAGGAGCCAAAAATTTTCAAAAAGTGATCACGTTTTTAATGGACGCCATCTTAATTAACGCCATCTTAATTAACGCCATCTTAATTAACGCCATCTTTATTAACGCCATCTTTATTAACGCCATATTTATTTAATTACAAATTATATTTAATGCAGTTTCGTTCGAAACTTATATAAAATTAAAATAATAAAAAAATAAATAAATCTCAATTCAAACATTAAATAATGTGCAAACTAACAAATTTTTTTATTAACAACATTTATTTTATTTTACTGATATAAGTATAATGCATTATTGCGTTATACAATACAAAATTTTTATTCGGAATGTATGTTAATTTAAGATTATCTCTATTTTCATCATTTCTTTCCTAATTTTTACAATTTTTAATAAATGAATTTTATTCCACTGACATAATGAAATTAGTATTTTATATAAATATTATTTCATAATTACATTCTGGATTTTTTGTTTGCAAATGTTATTTCATAATTACATCAGGTATTTTTAATGTTTTTGTTTGTAATAGTGTTTTTTGCAATATCATTAATGAACTAACAAAATATGCTTATATTACAGCATTTGCATAAAATCAATAATATCTTTATCCTGGTTTTTATTTATCATTTTTAATACATAAAAAGCAAACAGAATAATGATAATAACAATAAATAATTATAATAAAATATCGTATATAGAAGTTAATTAGACTTCAAATTAAGTCACGAATTTAATATGGAATTTTGTAAATTTGAAATGAACCACGTGTTGGATATGTCTGATAAATCATATATATATATATATATATATATATATATATATATATATATATATATATATATATATATATGTATGTATGTATGTATGTATGTATGAATGAAAGGTAGCAGACCAAATTACGACCCCAATTTATATGGATAAACTATTTTGTGGAAGAAAACCTATTTGAAATTTATACGTGTTTCTACATTTATAACTGTATATATATATATATATATATATATATATATATATTTGTACATTTTCAAAGTATAGATGTCGATATTTCGCTATTATATGGTGACAATGAGAATCTGACGTGAATATTGAAACCTCCAAAAGAAATATTGACATTTTCATGAACTCCACGTCTGTCATTTAATGTTATATATATATATATATATATATATATATACACTTTTAAAATTAAAACTTTTGTGCAAATACTTTCAATAGTTTGGGCAATTATTGTTTTTTATCCAGTAGTAGACTACCGATAATTTCAATATCATTTTGAAAAATATGTAGTACGAACACATTTTATCATATTTTTTCTACCTAAATATTACAAAAATTTAGAAAATGTTAGTATAAACTTTTGGGATACTTTGTAAATGTTATTCTTTTGAACTTCTACATTTTTTCCTAATACCATGAATGGGGTGACCTCAAGACAAAAGACAAAGATATCACTTTAGTCTTTTATATGTTAAAAAGTAATATATTATAAAATATCTAATAGTCATTACTTTGCATATTTTTTTAAAATAAATATACCAATTCAGCAAAATTCTCTTATGATTTTTTAATATTGAAAAAAAAAATGAATGAAGCATAAAATACAATAATGTACTTTGTAGGAAGCAACGAAATTTTATATTTATTATATCTATATATTACATTATATTTACATTATAGTTGGTATAATGAAAAACTTGACATTTGGTATTCTGCTCAATGAAAATTTCGTTCGTTATTTTAATTTATTTGCATTGTAATATGAATTGAAGTTTTTAAATTAAATGAGTGGATCAGCTGTCACATTTATTTGTATTTTGTGAGAGTTTTAATATTAGATACTATATTATTGATATAGTATTTCAAATAACATTCATTTACAATTTATTCGAAAATATACTCTTAAATCTGGGCTGGATTTATGGTAAAACATATATTTTTAGCCTTTTTCATAAATAAAACAGAAATAACGGTTTGAATCTGCAGCAACTCGATATACTCTTAAATCTAGGAAAAATATTTAAAAAAATTACCTAAACTAATATCATGCATATGTATTTTATTTGCTAATTGTAAGTGTTTAGAGTACTTTAATCTTTAAAATGGTTGTTTCCTGTGAGGTAAAAATACTATGTCTAAAAAACTATGTCCTATGAGGTAAAAATAAAGTATATTGGACTTCGATAAATGCAAAGAAACTATTATGAAATGAGATATATCTACCATTTACATACTCGTATTTAGAATGATTTTTCATCTTTGTATGTCTTCATTACTATTTTCTGAAAAAAACGTCATGTTTACAGAAAGGTTGGAAGAAAATTCGTTTGACCTATCAGTTCTGATTGTTTTTGCAATGACATGGGATTAAAAGGACATTTAGTTTTAGTTCATTTTCCAGTGACACATGTCCATTTCAGTGTGCACTGCATTTTATTGTAAATGACAATAAAAATAAAATCTAAAGTTAAAATGACACGAGAGCATGACATGCCCATTAAAAAATTTACGACGACGCGGGCAGATAAAGTGCTTTCAGAGCAAATTCATGAAAAATACTGCAATTATGGAAGAAAATGATAAATATAAAGCTGGTAACTAAATGACAATTGAAAATTCCTTTAGATTAAAAATACAACAATAGCAATATCTTTGAAAAAATAAATTGGAAATAGGTGCAAAATTCTGTTGGTTAAAAGTCTAATTATATTTTGAGGGTAAAATTTAATTCTGAACCGCGTTTTTAGTCCAGTTTCTGGAAAATCGTATTAACGGGGTTTTACTTCATATTATATGTTTATGTGTGTGTATGTGTATGAAATCGTAGTTTTATCATATTTTTTCTACCATATCTATGTCCAGTGCACTTTATTATTATCTCATAAAATGCAAGTAGTCTTCTGGTGTCATAAAATGACCCATTTTAAAAATTTAAGTGCTTTTTAAAATATTTGCATAATTTCCATATGAAGTCTACATGAAATAGATAAAATTTGATTTATAGTATTGATTTTAATGTATACGGAGGATAAACAAAAGACATTTACAATTTACAATCAAATCAACTGTACAACAACAAGAATGATTTATGAGTTAAATAATTGACTTACAATTAGTGCTATTATTTAATTAGTTATTTTATTATAATTTTTATTTTTTATGTTTTTTTTTTCAGGAATTACTGGAGACGTGATTATTGACTCAAATGGTGACAGGCTCTCCGACTATTCCTTACTGGATATGGATCCTGAAACTGGAATGTTTGAGGTAAATTTAAAAAAAAAATACATCTTTTATAATAATATGTAGCTTTTATCCTAGATATAACTGTTTTATCTTAATATTTTTTTCTACAAAAAAGAGAGCAAGTATGAAAGAAATTCAGATACAGAATCTGAAACTGGAATGTTTGAGATGAATTTTAAAAGTAATACTTCCTAATAAATCTATAAATATAAAATAAAAAAATATAATTAAACAACATTATATTACTCGTGTTTTTATAACACTATAGAAGTATTTTATGTTCTTACCATAATAAAACACATAACCTTTTCAACATCAATTGAATTGAAACGACATTTTTTATTTACTGGAAAATAAAATAGGAGATCTCAAGAAACAACTACAAAGTTGCTTTTACACTCTACTTATTTATGGCGAAAGAAATAAAGTACTTATATAATGCATCATATGTTCTACATTTTACCTTTATTTGTGCACTATTTGTTTAGTCATTTTTATTTATTTCATCTAATATGTTTCTTTTCCTTTCAGGTTGTGGCAAATTACATAGCTTCATCCAGAGTGTTAGAGTTCGTCCCTGGCAAAAAGATTCATTGGCCCGGCAACAGACTAAATCCGCCTCTGGATTCGCCTGTATGCGGATTCGATATGAGTTTATGCCCAGATAATTGTGAGTCAATTTTATTTTCAATTTTGGCTTTAAATTAATTATATGATATTATTGTATGGATGTAGTCACGTATTGATTCGATTTTGATTAAAAGCATTTAATTAATTCATAGAGCAATTAATGGGAAATTATATAGGAGTGAAATATTAATTTGTGCTTAATCGGTTTTGGTAAACATAATTATGATTATTACGATTACGATTACGATTATATATATATATATATATATATATATATATTGCACAAAATCATATATATTAAATAATTGTATTTTGATTTGATTTTATTCTTAATGATATATACGGTTAGTTAATTACTTATAAACTATATTTATTTGCATTTTGAATGAATTGAACTGCTTTTCGTTATTTGAAAATGCCGGCAAATTATATGTATTAACTTTGCGCCAACTTCAAGTCGTATCAATTGAATTCTTTTCGAATTAAGTTGGTGCCATGTCCTTTGGTGACGAGCACAACACTTTTGTTAGGAACCAATATGGTGGACTTTCGGCTTCGTTAACGTTCACTAGTGTGGCGATTTCATTAAAATACTAGAGTTCTATGTCGTGTTATATAATTTTATAGTGATTAAAGTGTGCAATGAGTACTACCCCACATGTACAATTGTTATTTAAGAGTTGAGTTGTTACAAATAAGGTGTATTGCAACATTTAAATCCGTGCACGACAGTTGCATAATGATGCGTAATTGCATGAAAATGGCGGAAACAATGATAATTGAGTTTTGTGTTGGATCTAATAAAGCGAAAGGAACTTTAAATTCAAGGTTAGTCAGAAGTTTTCAAAAAACAAGCAAATACATATACTTAAGTACGTAATAAACTATTGTTGTTAAAAAGGTTATAAGGTTTATCTGTTATAAATAATAAACTTTGCTTACGATTATACTGATAGCTCTTAAATCTGTTGTAAGTTCTAAACGGTGTTGTAATATTAGAACTTCTTGTATATAAATTTATGTGTGTATATAATTAATACAATATATAATTATTGATGTAATTGAATATCTTTCACAGCTCTGCCCGGATATGCCATTCTGAGTATCGTATTATCATTTGTACTATTTATAGTACTAATCGGCGCCGTCTTGCTCTACAAGTACGTAAATCATTAATATTATAAACATATATATATATATATATATATATATATATATATATTTACTGATATTATTCTGCTTTTACATTTTGCAATAATGTTTCTGATTATCTTTTGCCTAACAACTATATATAATTTTTGGGACTACTGAAAGTTCAGACTTTTAGAAGTTATATTAAATATCTGAATTAAGTATTTTAAATATTCAGAACGAAAGAAAATTTGTCATGTCCTTAAATTTATTTCAAGTATGTATTAAAATATAAACCTGGCTCTGAAACTAATTATATGCATGCATGTTCTCGACGAATTACGAATTCAAGGAACGTTTTTTCATTTCTTCACATTGAAAGTCGCTAACTAAAGCGATATTTAATAAGATTAATTCTAGAGTCTTTGGAGAAATAAGATCTTGTTACTGAAAAGTAATTTAAGCTTTGTTTAGTAATTTAATATAAAAGTTTAATAATGGAGTATTACCAGATTTTGCTTCAAATTCACAATTTATAAATCATTACAAATTGAACATTTTTTAGATCATTCAAATCGGATGCTCTGATCTCTCAAAAACTCGATTTTTATCCCTATCAACAGAGATCGAATGTTTATTAAACCATTCAAATGGGTTGATTCGTGCGCCCGAAAACGTGACTGGAAATTTGTATCCATACATACATACACACACATCACATCCATTTCTTCTGAATTATGCCAAAATGTTCAGAAACCTTCAAAACGTCGAGAAATGCAAAAATTTTCAAGTTCGATTTTTGGACGATTACAATAACTTACCCTATTCTCTACTATTTACGATGTTCGTATAAGCCTCGTAGATTTGTGTAAAAATTTTGTTTGATAAATATTTTGTGCAATTTTTGTGTGCAACAGTGAATTTTAGCAACTTTTTTAAAAACAACAAGTGAAAACAACTCATTCGTAACTATAAGCTCTCATATTTGTATGAAATTTTTCACCATAGCGAAATAACTCATAAGCAAAATGATGGACTTTTTTAGCATATTCCCTCATACATGAAGTCAATCCTAAGACGGCCCTGTCCGTTCCTAAATATGCCCATTAATCCCTAATTCGTATCTGCAGCATTTGCCTTTTTTCCTTTTTATGTACTCATATATTTATTCTGCCGCTTCGGATTACCGCACTAAATGAGATATGCTGTTTCTTATTTTCATTTCCTTGGAAAAAAAATCTTATGTCGTTTGGCGGTTGCTGCTCTTAAAATCTATATTATACATATTATATATATACACATATATACATATATGTATATATATGTATGTGTGTGTATGTATGGATAAGAACATTTGTATATGTTTGCAAAGGGACATCATAAAAACGTAGCATAAAAAATCCAGAGAAAAGTCATGATGTGCTCTTAAGGGGGGCGATACATGTAACAAGAAAAAAAAAAACGATTTTTTTTTCTTTCATAAATCGTTACAATAACATCTCAAAAATATGCCTGTAAATATTCAAAACAAAATTATCATTATTTATACAATAAAAACTCATTTAAGTGCCACGCCTCAACTCGACGCTTGAGTGCTATTGTACTCTTATCTGTTTCTGTGTCAAAACTTTAAACGCGTTTTTCTCAAAACGACATTTTTGAAATTTGCAGGCGGGATAACTCAAAAAGTTCTCAACCGATTCCAATGAAATTTTGCACACATCTACTTTACAGTAATAGCTTCTAGTTAAACCTCAAACATTCCAAAAAAAATTTCAAAAATTAACCCTTTTACCAAAAAAACCATTGAAAAAAAGGTGAAAAATCGAACTTTTTTTTTTCTAAGGTGTGCCAATTTACGATTTTGTGACTTTTTTAATTTTTTTTTGGTTTAACTAGAAGATATATGTTTTATGAACACGTACAAAATAATTTTTTTAAATTCAGATCACCGTACGAAAAGTGAGAACGCCCGCAAATTGATGGCGTTTTCCGAGAGGGTCTTGGCAGATTTATTTTTACGGCAGCCATTTAAAAAAAAAAATAAAAAAAAAAATTTTTTTTGTGTATTTTAATATATAATAAATAACCCTAAAAAAGTTCAAGAAGATTCAATCATTCCTTCCCAGTTTAAAAAGTCCTCAAAAAATGATAAAAATTAAGGCGATTACATGTATCGCCCCCCTTAAGTTCTTGTTAGATGCGCCATAAAAACTATATAAACTTAGGATTTCTATGTATGTATGTATATATATATATATATATATATATATATATGCATTTAAGTAGTTCCTTGAACTTGCAAAAACATTATTTCACACTTTAAAATCCTCCCAAATTACTAGTAACTAAAAAAATAGTAATATATAATATTTAAAATATTTAATTCAGGTAGTTAATATAACTTCTAAAGTCTGAACCTTCAGTAGTCCCAAAAATTATATATAATTGTAAGGAAAAAGATAATCATAAACATTTTTGCAAAATGTAAAAGCACATTATCAGTGAAAATGTCGCACAAAATTTTTCAAGCACTTTTTCAATTTTGCGCAAATTATGCAACTTTCAAATTGAATTCGAAATGAAATGTCGATTGTTAATGTTCTGGAGATAAATTGATTTATTTATGCTTTACATTTGATTTTGATTGCTCAGATATAACAAGATAGCAATAAAAATAAAGAAAGTTACAGTATTTGTAATAATATATTTGAAAACGTTTCTCGAATTTCTCGAATATTTCATTACGGTACGGGAAGTTCCAGTAATTTGCCTTAAGGCACGATGCCATGCGCCCCGCTAGTCTTTATTTATATACATTATTTACCATTAATACATGATCTCAGTTATATCGCTCTAGTAAATTGAGTTTTAGATTGATATTTTCTAATTATTTTTTTCCCAGGCGTTACCGGGACGAGGCCGACCTGCTGTCCATGTCCTGGATGGTCGACCATCGTCAGATCATTCCGATCTCTTCCGTAAGCAGCCGACATCCCACGAGGGGCAGCTGCATGACGCTCACGGCGGCGGTCAACAATCCAGGTGACTAATCCATGAAAACTTATATATTTATCATTATCAATACTTTTATCCAAAATGCCTCTGTATTATACATTGTTTATTATTTACGTCTGTTTTTACTTACGACATTAGAATTTAATACTTTATTTTATTGAATATAATGTTTTTGTTCGCAGATGTGTTGAACAACTGTGCTGACCCGCTTTACGGAAACAATTCCGGGAATCCGGCAACAGCCGGAGGAATGCCCAGAAGAGGAAGCCAAATTGTAAGTTATTAAGATATACTTGTTATTACATAATATTCAATATGATCGATTAATTGTTAATATTTTTTTTATTTTCAGACTACATATTCCTTAGATTTGTTTGCTGCTAAAAATCAGAACAGTGGTCGCCAACTTTTTTGTAAGGTTGCGGTTTACAAGGGCGTTCGAGTTGCTCTGAAATCTCTGCCGCCTGTAAAAACGAAAATTGAAATAACGAGACAACTGAAGATTGAACTCAGAAATGTAAGTAAAAAACAATTTCTGATTATTATATATATTGCATAATAATAATTCAATAATAATAGATATATTAGATGTAAAAAAAATCATGGAACTTTCATGCTGACTTAATATATTAAATTATTATTTAATTTATTACAATTTACTTTGCAGTAGTGCTTTTTTTCATTAACATTTTTTAATATGTTTATGAAAAATATTTTATCGAAATTAAGTTAAACGATGCTATGCTAATAATATAGAATTATTAATTCAAATATATATATATATATATATATATATATATATATATATATATATATAAATCTTTCTGGGTGTATATACAAGATGTTTGATAAAGGACGAAATATTTATTAGGGTCTAATAGGTTGAAAGGTATCACTTAGAATTAATTGAAGGTGCGTCCATCAAATATCTTCTTCAGTAAACAAACATAAATGCCTTCTCCCATAGTTGCCCTTTCCATTTGAATACAATTACAAAGCACCCAAATATATATATATATATATATATATATATATATATATATATATATATTGCGGATATAAATATATAAATATATTATTAAGGATTGTAATTGTTGTTATGATGGGGAAAGTTTTCAATATATTTAATATTTTAATCTCTGGCATATTTTATTTGCTTTTTCTTAATATTAATGCCACAATTACATTTTTCTTATTTTGATTTTTTTTATTGATAATTAATATTTTTATCTTGAAAATGAAATTTAATATTTTAATCTTTGTTGCTTTTTTGCAAATTTTGAGTGAAAAATGTCAAGGTCACACATTCATTTGTTTTTCGTAATTTTTTCCTTATTCCTACGTTATTAAATTTTTATATTTATTACTATTCTATTTATCTTCACAAACTCTAAAATGATTCATCGAAATTGGAGCAGCCGTTTAGGAGTGTCACATTTACACAAGATATATTTATATATATATATATATATATATATATATATATATATATAATATTATTTCCAATGTCATGTGTTATGTATTGTATTAAAATATACTTTAAAGTGTCTCCGACCCGTATCAAACTCGAACCGGACCTCTGTCAACCGTTTGTCATTCTGAAATATCTATAACATCATATTTTCACATAATAAAACTAAATACCCCCGAAAATTCATGAGATATCTCACAAATCTAATAAACGAAACATTTTCAACCCCCTGAAAAATATTTCACACCCAAAGAAAAATAACTCTATAATAACTGATACAATTTTTTACAATGTTTTCATTTTTTTAGCTGAAACATCTATCCCATGATCATCTAACCAGGTTCTATGGGGCCTGCTTGGACCCTCCAGAGGGTCCTGGTTTGCTTCTAACCGAATATTGTCCAAGGGGGTCCTTGCAGGATATTTTGGAAAATTGTCAATTGGAATTGGATTGGATGTTTCGGATTTCTCTTATGCAAGATATTGTCAGAGTAAGTGAATAATATTTAGATTTTTTCTAAAATTTTGCATGATATTTACATTTTTTTATTATAATTATTGATTTTGTTTAATTTAGATGAAAAATTCTTGGTACTTAAATCTAAATCATTTCATATGCACTAATTTTTGCTTTAAACTATAAATATATATTTTCTTTTTCATTTTATGTACTTATTATTGAATTAATTATTCATGTTATTTTCACTAAAATATTAAGTCTTGTTCGTTTTTGTTATTTAATTAGTGACTATTTTATAAATGTACTGATTAACTTCTTATAATGGTCATTTTCCTTTGATTTTAATTTTTAATTAAAATTATTTTTTTCTACGACAAAAAGTATGTTTTTTTTACAAAAATAAATCAAATACTCAAAGAACTTTTTTTAATTTTTTTTCTAATGATCATAAAAGCTAAAAGCAGTATCTCATTTAATATTTACATCTCGATGTTAATTAAAGTTTGAAATAAATAAATATTTGATTTGATACTTCGTAGGGAATGTGCTATCTACATAATTCCGATATTAAATCTCACGGGACCCTGAAGTCCTCAAACTGTGTAGTCGATTCGAGATTTGTGCTGAAAATTACGGATTTTGGACTTCATGCCCTCAGGAGCCCTGGGTCAAATTGTTTGGATAATTCTTCAGGAGAGGAGAAAAAAACTAAAACTGGTAAGAAAATAATAATAGAAGAAAGTTTATTTATGAGATGTTGTGAAATGGGATTTTTAATTAAAATATTCAAAAAATTGCCTAATGCCATTAGAAATAACTATATCATTTCTCAATAATTAAATTCATAAAAGCTTTTCAGTTAAAATTATGTTTTTTGCCTTTTTAGATGGAGAAAGTCATTCCAGAAGATACAAGAACAAAACTGTTAATAGTTACAAGTGGAGGAATAAAAATTATAGAAGAAATAGTGGTAAGAAAATAAAAATTATATATAATTAGTTAATAGGTTTATACTTTTTCTTTCATTTATACTTTCTATATTTAGTTAATATATTTGTACTTCTTTACAAATTTTACATTCAATTTCAATACAAGCACAATATTTGGCTCGAAAACAACTTAATAGAAATAGAAACAGCAATAGATATTACATAATACTTAGATATAGATGTAAAAAATCTATTTAATAGCAAATAGATTCATTATATTTAAATATTAATTTATCATACAATTACACTTAAAATAGTACATTTTTTATAAACATTCTATTATGATTTAATTATTATTTTATCACTAATAATCTTTAAAAAAAATACTCATGCTAATTCATTCAATTTATTCCAGTTGCTTCGAATAGCTCCAAATGGTGGTCCAGTCGACAAGAACGTTCCTCTCGTTGGTGGAAAGACAAATCAGGAGTCACAGATATCGAAGACACCTTATCAGCATCCACCCCGAGACATCATAATGGATCCCTATCAACAGATTATGAAACATCTTACTACGATGACAGATTTAATAAGGAGAGTCATGTGTATTGGAAACGTAAGTACATGTAAATTAAATGAAAATGAATATAGATAGGAGTCAGTTCAATATATTTTATAATTTCATGTTTTTTTCATAAACAAGTCATCATTAAATTAAATATAAGTAAAGTAAATATTATATAATATAATAGTAAAGTAATATTGTTCAAAGAAACAAATACAAAATTTTTCTAGGTATTAATGTATATTAATGTTGAACTTGTAAAAATTATATCTATTAATTTAAGTAATTTGAAACATAAAATTATAGAAAGTATTCAAAGAAATATAGTGGTATGTGAAGTAGAAATGATCTGATGCCAATTTAGTGAATAATTCAAACATATTTCTTAGAATATTTCAAATAATATTTTGCTATCAAAGTGTCGGATATTATTTCGAATATTTTGGGTGGTTATTCATCAGTTCACTAAATAATAATAATAAGGTAATCTACTTTGTAATATTACTTTTAATACTGATTTTTATATTCAATTCAAATAACTGATTTTATTTTTTATTTGTAGAGTTTTTGTGGACTGCTCCTGAATTGTTGAGAATGGATTCATCAAAAAGGCCTCCAGCTGGAACACAAAAAGGAGATGTTTATTCGTTTGCAATTATTGTTCATGAAATTGTTACGAGGAATGGGGCATTTTATAGAGACGATGATATGACTCCGAAAGGTTAGTTTAGATAAATAATTTTTATAATTTATAAGATATATATATATATATATATATATATATATATATATAACAAATGTATTCTGAGTGGATAGATATTAATTTAGAAATATCAACAAACAACACTTTTTTTTGCCCTAATTTATTAAATAATAATTTCACAAACGTTTTGAGATTAGGTTTGTCTCATCATCAGTGTGTTATAATTTAAAATCTAAAATATGGAAATCTAAATTAGCATTATGTGTTATCCGTTGCAAGACGTTCCTTTTACTAGGTTTTAAATCCTTTACTTTAGTGAAAAGAATGATTTGCAACGATTAACACATAATGCTAATTTAGATTAGCCCTAGTCTCAAAACGTTTGTAAAATTATTATTAAATAAATTAGTGCAAAGAGTGTTGTTTGTTCATATTTCTAAATTAATATATGAAATATAATTTAAGAAGATAATCTTAGCCGACATCTGTGTGCTTTTTATCTACAACTTTTACTCAAGTTGAAAACCGATTTTCCGATTCAGTCCTCTACAGAAATGTAATGAGAATCTTGGGAAAATAATTATTAGTTTAGTTTTTCACGAAATCCTATTTGTTTATTATATGAATTACTAACATTTTATGTCATTTTGAATTGTTTGGCACTAACGTATGTGCCTATTTTCGATTAAGTCTTCAGATATCTATATAGTATGTTTTTGTGAGACAATATAATATCGTTTGTTTTTATCAGAAAATCATATTTGATATTTTTTTAATTTTTGATGTTTTATGTCATTCTGAATCGTTTGACATTGAAATGGAAATTTAAGTTCATCAGTTCAATTAATTGCATTAATTTGTGTAGGAAAACTTACAGATATTTTTTATGGTCCGTTACGAAAAATTAGATTGAATTTATAAATATTCTTTCTTCTGTAGGAATATTTTTCTTGGTATTAAATCAAATATTATCAAAAATATTTACCATTACATTCTAGTCAGCCAAAGCAAATGGTTTAATGTCGTGTCATTTTTTAATTTGCCCTTATGAATTTGAACATTTGGAATTACTAATCTAGATGGAATCTACCCTCGATTGTAGGATAAATTGTTGAAATACGGTTTCATTCAAATTTTACATTATAATTTTATCCAATAAATGTGGTAGTAAGATTAATATCCTTTTAATCTGCATCCCAACTAATTTAGCATTTACCCGATGCAATCTGGAAATTACCCGGCAAAGCTCTCGACTTTACAATGCGCATTTAGTCGAGTGTGTACTTATAGTTCTATATCTATATATAAGTACATATAGACAATTAGGGCAAATGGGGCGAATGGAAAGGGACAAAGTCAAGCTCACCTGTTCGACTTTCCCTCTGTGTGGGGGACACGTACTAGAAAATAATTAATTAATTTTAATTATGAAAACAACACGACTCGGAAACTGTACCGAGAGTAATTACGGTGGACGGAAATGAAACGGAGCAAAGGTGTTTGCATATTTTAACTCTTACAACACAAAAAGGATAATATTAGTACACACGAATATATACTGTAAAATCGCGTTGTACTTATTGGACCCTAAAACGCTTACGAGATAGGCCGATTATTATGTACTGATTTTGGTATATGTAGGTAATAAATTATAATTGTATAACTCACATCAAATACTACATCAATTTCTATTTCTCTTGAAAACATTGGATTTATTTGGATTTATTTGGCATAAAAAGTGAAATATTAAAAGGCCTTGCGGTTCCTACTTTTTTATTTTATTGCCTTGCCATCCATGCGTCTTGTTTTGCCAATTTTCAAAAACGTAATTTTTCGACTATAAATTGAAAACCTTTGAGACCTTGTATAGTATCCAAAATGTAAATTATTTATTAATTTCTTCTGGCTTTTAGAAATGTGATGATTACTGAGAACCGTGAGGGACTTCGAATTAATTTTTTAGCTTAATTTTTATTTTTGCTTTGATTATTATGCAAATTGGTCAAAATTTTCTTCTACTTCCTACACAGAATTTTTCCCAAATGTATGTAAATTTATCACTAATATAATTTATCACGTTAGTGATAAATTGATTTTTACATATGTTAAAGTAATTTGAATTTTACATATGTTAGTGCAGATCTACTTCTTTGCGAATTATTTGAAAATTTCGTTTTTTCTTTCAAATTTACAAATTATGACATTTTTTGATAATAATTTTATATTTCAAATTCAAAATTTGATGTTTAAACTGTCAATTTTTTTCTGTTTTATGAGTTACGTAGTATTTCGACTATAAATTATTGTGATTTTTAATATCTTCGGGACGTTGTCGTAATGAATGCTAGACAATTCAAATGTAAATAATAAATCAATTTATCCCGAATTTTTCAGAAACCTTGACAACTTTTATTTCCGTGTTTTATCTAAAAAATCGTAACTGTCAAAATTAATTTAAATTTATAGGATTATAATATTTCGAATATGAACTTCGAGTTTTAATATTGCCTATGATCTAGATTGTATATAAATGCAGGCTGGATTGTATATAAAATTTAAAATCGGTTCAGTATTCTAGGAGTTAATTTCGGGCAAATTTGTGAATCAAACTTTATATATATATATTATATATATATATATATATATATAATATGGTATAAGGGGTATAAATCAGTAAGGCGTCGCGATTCATCATTTTGGACCATTTTCCCTTTATCGTGACCTTACAGAAAATGTACATTTATATTTATGATGTACATTTCTATCTTTGTATATAGAACCGTTAAAAATTTTGCACCTACAACTGAACAATCCGTTATTTCCGCAATTAAAAAAAATATATTGAATATATAATATTTTTTAGCATTCTGAAAAAGACGTAAGAACATTTATCCCTCATAAGTATTATATACATGTTTATACAATCATATATGAAATTAATAAGATGTTAAGCCTTGTCAAACGTAAAATAACATTCTATTTTAGGGTTTAAGATTTCATGGTCGTGAACATTTCTGTTGGGAAAATTCGCTTGAAATATATATATTCGAGTGGGTTATAGACGGTTACAAGATGAGTTTATTTTCGAATTGATTCCGATGAAAATACGATATTGAATAAAATATGCAATTGGGGAAAACGTGTAATATAAATATACAAATTACACTCGAATGTTTTTCGATATAACCCACGCACAAAGGTGGATTTAATAATGGATACTACATGATAACTGATTATTGAACAGATATATTTGTTAAATCTTTATAAAAATGCTGAACTAGAATAATAACATTTAACAATTAACTGATAGATTTTTTGAACTAAAATAACTTGTTGTAAGTGGCATTTTTTCTTGAGTCACAGTTGTAAGTTAGCCGCTAGGATTTTCTGGCGAAATCATCAATTTCTTCTAAACGATAGTAATAACCTGTATTTTCAACCCTTTTTTGTCTTACCCTTTTCCCCTCCACGATTATATTCAAACATTCGGTTGTTTTTTTTTTTCAAAAAAATATTTATTTAATTTTTCAACTATTTTTTCATTCAACGTTTCGGGGATGTGGGATCTCTTGAAAACATAATCAATTTTTTTTATTATATTTTATTGAAAGAATTTTCTTTACAATTACAATTTTCAACATCTCGTTTATTATAATATTTTTTTATTATTATTTGTTGGATTTCAAAAATGTTTGGTGATTAAGATAAAAAGTGAATTCTTGACCGTTGTTGATTTTGACAAAGTAGTCAATTATTCTGTAGATTTTTTAAATTTTACATAAATCTTTTATATTATTATTAAAAATTTGTTTACCAATAATTTCATCTAGAAATTTAATTGACTCGAAATGGTACGACATTAGTGGAAAATTTCAAAGATGTTGTCCTTGTGTATATACCAATAATTCCTTGAGGTTCAGTTATTCCATTTAAACGCTTACAATTTCCATATTTATATATATATATATATATATATATATATATATATATATATGATGTAGGTTCCTGTGCACTTGATTAAATATCCTCTGAAGTCTTACAATCAATTAGTGAAATCTGAATAGAAGCAAAATGCGTAATACACACCACAAAGGAATATTATATCAGACTACATATATTTTTATATTTAAAAAAAAATATAATATCTACCAACATAAATGCGTAAAAGCAAAATTGTGTCATTAAATATTTATTTTCCTATTAATGCTTAATTAATTAGTATTTTTACATTTTTTTAATAAGCGAATTACATCTCCATTATTTTCCATTTTACTTCTTAAATCGACTGCGAAGCTTTTGATAAGATTTAACTAAAAATGTTGTAAGTAATGCTTTACAATTTTATTTTTATAGCCAATTATGGTACTTTGTTCAGAAAGTAGTAGTTTTGCGTCCAAATGGCTTTTTCTATAGTAACAACTCATATAAAATGCTGTACTAAATCTATGGTCTTATGAAAGGGATTACTGATATATATATATATATATATATATATATATATATATACAGAATTGTTAAGTCTTATCAGATGGTATATATACATTCCTTTGTGGATTGCTTAAGGTGTGTAAGTGCCCTATAGCAGTCTATATTTTCCCTTAAACAGAAAGCTGATGTCATATGAAAGATTATTAACTGAGCTTAAAATTGCATTAATTTGTAACAAAACAAATGCGTTTTTAAACAAAGTTATGAAAAAACACTTCTTAATATAATACATTAAGCGTATAATACATTTTCTTCTCAAACCAAACTACTTCTTCTCTTAAATGTTAGTTTTTGAATAGTATTAGTTTAATAGTTTAACCAGTTAAATGTGATTGACGGATATACACGTCATGGAAAAGTGGTATCATTTTGTGTATTGACGAGTGTATCACACAGAACGGAATATTATCTAGACATTGCATCTATTGTTGCACATAATCAAAAGTGCTAATTCCTAACTTTGATGCTTTTTTCTAGCTAAAGTACTTACCATAGGCCTATAATATTTCACGATGTTCACAGCAAGAATT